TTTAAGTCTTCTGTAGTTAATTTGGTATAAAGAAACAAATACATTCATAGAAAAATAAGTGGCAAAGGCATAATAAAAGATCAGGAAATTAAAGGCCTGAGGAGAATGCTGTGGCAATACCGAGCCAATTGACCAAGAGTGGGCACAATAGAGTGAGTTGTGGTACAGAGGGCATCTCAGAAATTGTATCCCTTTAGTGAAGGCTTGGACAATCAGAGATGATAAGTCAGGGGAAAGAAACTCCAGCCAGCAAGCCCTGTGCAGGCAGAGACCTGGGAGCTGGTGGTGTTTAGGGTTCTGATTGCAGAAGCGCCAGGTGCAGCTTGGAGGGTGGAGCGATGGAACTGGCAAGATGGGATATCAGGTCTTGAAAGGTGTGATTTGCTGTGCCAGCCAGTTGGGACTTTTGTTACAGTTGGGACTTTTGTTACAGATGTAGAGTTGTTTAATTAGGGTTGTAAGTGCAGGGGGAATGACTGCTCCGGCTTGTGTTTCAGAAAGCTTGCACTTCGTGGTTACTTATTCTTGATGCAGGCGAGAAAAGATGGCAGGAATGGAGGTGACAAAAAAGGCCAGCTGAGGCTCCATGGATCTGTAGTTAGAATGATCTTGTGGAGAAACAGGAGGGACAAACCAAAGCCAAATCCTTGTGCTGTGGTTTGGATACAACTGGTCACCAAGAGGTTCGTGGGCTGCAAGCTCCAACCCGTGTGTCTGTGTTTAGGTGGTAGCACCTTTAACAAGTAGAGCCTCCAGGAAGGTGATTTCATTACGGCTGTGCCACTGTCATGAATGGACTAACACTGTGGAGGAACTGTGTTAGTTCCAAATGAAAATATACTATTGCTCATTCTCCTAGTGAGAATCCCTTTTTTTCCCCTACTGCATGAAATACTGAGTTGTTTTTCTTATTCTACAGTGTCATAATCTATTTAATATAAAAAGGGATGAGGTAGCGATTCCTAGCTCCTGTGCTGACCCATTCCATGAAGCCAACTTCCTAAGACCTTCTTTTGTTTAGGGAACTTCAGTTTAGTGCTGGCTAGATTTCTTAACAGGAAAAAAATCTATACACTAAGATTATTGCATGATATGGCTCAAAAACCTCATTTGAAATAGAAAGGATCCACACTTTAAGACATTCCTATCTCCAAAGTACTGACAGGGAACCAGATGAGAATTATTGACTCACGCCCACAATGGACAACCTCTGAGCTCTAGCTCATTAACCGTTCTGAACGAGTCCCTCTGTTTTTCTAGGATCTAGTTGGCCATTGACTCTCTCCTTCTACCATTTGTTTCTTCATGCTTTTATTCATGCTCCGGCAGTTTTTCACTGTCCACTTATCAATTCACACATAACACAATAATTGTTGAAGTTCTGTTAACAATAGCATCAAGAAGACAAAAGTGCTTCCTTCCTCTATTTCATGTATTAAAAAAAGAAGAAGAAAGAAACATCAAGGAGGATTAGTCTCAGAGCCTTGGGGACTCTGTCAAATGTAATGGGGCAAGACACAGCTGGTGAACCAGACATGTGGATTGAAACCAGAGAATGGTCCCCATCAGGCATGAATGGAACCTGAGTAGCGGAGGTGGCCACAAAATGCCCCGTAGGTTGGATTCTACATTAAGCCCCTTTCATATTTTCTGCTATAAGTAGCATCCAGGTCATTTGTGTCACATTTGGAATTATCAGCTTCTTGCCAAAATAACACTGTGCGTGTGTGTGTGTGTGTGTGTGTGTGTGTGTGTGTGTGTGTGTGTGTGTGTGTGTAACTACTTAGCCATGAATCATAGTGTTAATCAGACGAGACAGTACTGGAGACAATTAAAAACTCAAGTTTTCCTTATCAGTTACACCCAGACCAAGCTCCCTGAGGTGGATCAGGAGACAGACAGAAAGAGGCCTATTGTTATGCTGACCTATGGGTTTTCCTGGTCTCTCTATAACTCACTGTCCACTCATTTAACAGTTATCTTGATTCTGTGATATGTTCATAAACACCCACTGAGAGCTCAGTTTTTAAATTAAAAAAAGATTCACTAACCCTGATTTCAGTAGCATCATTAAAAGAAACACGCTGACATTCCAAATAAGTAGAATTATTATTAATGTACCAAAGATCTGTGGCTGAGATGTGACAGTTTTCTTGTAATGAGAGCAGGCAAGTGGGACTGGACCCACCCATCATGTCAGACCTGCTGCTGGGGTTGCTGAGTAGCTGTAAGAGCTAACAGCTGAGCACTGTTCTGGATGGAGGAAAGCACAACATCCTAACTCACAGGCATCTCCAATCTAAGTATGCTTTATTCTACACGTTGAGCTCAGATGAGTAGAGCCCTCCACTGGTGAGCAAAGGAACTCAGTGGGAAAGCAGGGGCTGTGAATGCGCAGGAGGCTCTCTGGTGGGAGTGCAGGCAGTCGTCAGGGAATGCAGAGTGCTGGCCTCTCGTCCACAGTCACAGGCAGCAAAAGCTTAGCCCACCTCTGATCGGAAAGGAGGAGGGGACGCCCAAAGCAGTCCAGTTCCGTAAATCTATAGGCTGCAAATAAAGACTCAGAAGCTTCGTCGTACCGAAGAACAGGTGAGATGTGGAAGTGCCCCCTGCATCAGAGAACAACTGCAGAGATCATAGCTCTCTTTGGAATCCTCTGTCTCAATGAGGGATCAAGCAGGTATGTTGAGGACACAATACAGGAGTCCTCCTTGGGAGTACTGGAGCAACCCCATGCTGGCCAGGTTAACTGGTAGAGTTTATGCAATGCTAGTGTCAGGGAGAGGGGCATGGAGCCTAGGTATGACTGCTGCCATATCAGACACCACACACTAGAAGAAAGTAGAGGAAGAGAAGGAACTTGAGGGCTAACGGGAAAGAAGTCCAGAAAATAAAGATTCTGGAAAGGATCATAAGGAAGGCACGGCATGAACTGAGGCCAGAAGCAGAAAGTTGTTGGGAATGGAGGGAAATTTAGGGGAGGGAGAAGTGAAATTGGAATAACCATAGCAGATGAGAGATGAGGTCATTAAACGGGGCCATGGTGACACTTGGAAAAGCACTGCCCATGTAAGAACAACACCAACAGCAATTTTAAGATATTTTAATAATGCAAAATATGAGTTCAAAAGCAATGAATTACTTCTAGCGACTGTTTAAATAGCTTTGCATCTATAAACATTGAACAATGGCTATAACCCAGGCAGAGTTCCAATCACTTTCATCTCCATCATACTAATAAGGACATGGAAACACAGAGACTTAAATAATTTGTTCAAATCACAGGGCCAAATAAATAGCAAAGCTTGTGTTGCAAATCTAGGTGGCTTCCATATGCTTGACTTGAAGGCCTGCTGCCTCTTTCCAATGCAAGGAACAGACACGAAGAGGCTGCTTCATCAGTAGCATGTTCCCCCGTGCGGTTTATTGAGGCAAAGACAAAGGCAAACCGGAACATACTGTTAGCAACCGTTGCCTCCTCTGATGCAGATTCCTAACCCCCTTCTGTTCTGTTTTCCCATTTTTTTTTTTTCAGTCCTGGGGCCTCTGTATTTTAGCTGGGTTCCTGACAAAGACTCCATTTCCTGGCTTCCTTTTTAGCTAGAAGTGGCCATATGAATAAATTCAGCCCATGAGAAGTGATCATCAACGATTTCTGCAGTCTGGGGAGAATTTACAAGTGCAGTCATTGCCCCCTTTTCCCCAGCCAGCTGGAAATGGGAAGAACCAGAGCAGAGATCTTGGGGCTGGAGATGGAAGCCACATCTTGAAGGCCAAGATGACTGGGGATGGAACAGAGCCAGTTGTGTGACTTAGAACCCTTGGGTTATTACGGCGGATAAGGGTGAGATTCTGTCAACTTTAATCCATAGGATTTAGTCAGCTTAGCATGAACCCTAACCCATATGCGTGGAATTTGAATTTGAACACTGGTGCCAGTTGTTTAAGTAAATTCAAATCATGTTTTCAGAGATTTCCTGTTGGATATTTTATACCCCAGTAAGCAATCATAGGTAGAATGGGAGAAGTCAAAGCAGACACCCAGAACAATTTTACATATACATGAAAGACTATTTTCAGTCTTCTCTGTGTATGTGTATTTGTGTATGGGTGTGTATGTGCCATGTGCCGAAAATGCTAAAGGATTATGTGAGGTCTTAAAATACTTTGAGAGATTACACTCTCCCAAAACTCGTGGCTGATCTAAATCCTGTCTCAAACCATCCAGACCAAACATGCACATTTAAAAATGACAGCAAATCCAATATGTGCATTTGACTTGATATTGAATCTCTGTCACCTACTCCAAAAGATTTTTATCTGAAACATTCTTGGAAGATAGGGAAAAATTAACTATATATATATATCAGACTTCAGCATCTTAAGGGGAGGGCATTTTCCAGAATTGCAGCCCCACTAATGTCTAGGGAAAGCCTCTGTGTGGTTAGGATGTTGGGAAGCACAACTCACTCTCCCAGTGAACAGGCCTAAGCATGACATCGTGTTTCGGCTCCCTAGCAGCTGCTAGTGTTTAGCTCTGCCACCTGAAGAGTTCTGACCCTTGTTCTAGTGATGCAGAGACCAAGGGCCAATCTCTGTTCATTCTGGGTCTCCTCCAAAGCGGCTCATTCTCCCCACCATCTGCCAGCCCAAGCCTTCCCTGGGCCTGCTATAGTACCGATAGTGTTCAGGGCCCTTCAGCTCTTTGGGGGGCATTCTCTTGACTTCCTCGACCTATCCTGAGACTAGCTCCGCACCTCCAGTCCTCTCCAGTCGAGGCTGTTTTCTCTCTTACTACACAGGCCTCACAGCACAGCTGACTCACATGTGTTCTTGTAGTCCTTCCCAATTTGTTTCATCAGGAGTTCAACCCCAACACATGGAAAATTTCTCAGTTCACAAATGAGTTCCTTGTCCCAAAACCCACGGTTATTTCTCTACCCCATTTTACTCTTTTCTCTCAGTGCAACTCAAAGCACAATTGACAGTGATCCCAGAAGAATGGCAAGTTTTAAAATATGTTAAGTTGGACTTGACTCAGATTAAAAACTTGTGATTCAAAGGACAAAGACAGAATGAGGCAAACTATGTGGAATCATATCTTGTAAGGAATGTGTGTCGAGATAATCTAAAGGATTCTTACTACTAAATAATGAATGGCAACTCAATTTAAAAATTGGCAAAAGAGAATAGCCTTCTATGCAAAGAAGATATGCAAACGGCCAATCATCACATGAAAAGATGCCCAGCATCCTTAGACTCCACAGAAGTCCGAATCGAAACTACAACAAGGGCCCAGCACAATGGCTCAATCCTCCTCTGTAATGCCAGGAACCAATATGGGCATTGGTTTGTGTCCCAGCTGCTTCACTTCCCATCCAGCTCCCTGCCTGTGGCCTGGGAAAGCAGTCAAGGATGACCCAAAACCTTGGGACCCTGAACCAATATGGGAGACCTGGAGGAAACTCCTGGTTCCTGGTTTCAGAGGGACTGAGCTCTAGCCTGTGGTAGCCACTTGTGGAGTGAACCAGTGAAGAAAGATCTTTCTCTCTGCCTCTCCTTCTTTCTATAAATCTGCCTCTCCCATAAAAATAAAACTCTTTTAAAAAAGAAACCACAGAGAGATACCATTTCACATCAACTGGGAGAGCCATTATGCAAAAGCTGTACAGTAACAAGTGCTCCTGAGGCTATGGAGAAGCTGGGACTCTCAGACACTGCTGGTGGTAGGAATATAAAACAGTGAATCCATTTTTGAAAACAGCCTGTCAGTTCCTCAAATGGTTAAACATAAGAGTTATTGAATTACCCAGCAATTCACTCTTAAGGTTACAGCCAAGAGAACTGGAAACACTATTCACACACATTTGCTCCAATGTTTATATCAATGTTGCCGTTAACAGCCAAAAAGTGGAAACATTCCAAATGTTCACCAATTGATGGGTAAGAAACCAAACCTTGTATATTCCTTCTTTTTTGGTGGTAGGAAAAAATGAAGTACTTATAATGCTAGAGTATGATACATCTCAAAAAGCTAAATGAAAGAAGTCAGTCACAAAGAAGGACCTGTTCTATGACTCGGTGGTCCAGAACTGACCAATTTCTAGAGATGGAAAGTGGGGTAGAGCCAGAGGCTGAGGGATGGAGGAGAATCAGTGTTAATGGAAATGGCGTTTCTTGGCAGGTGGGGGCAGGGATGGCAAAAATGGAAGTAGAGAGTGGTGATGGACATAAACTGCCTACTTTAAAAGATTGAACATTATGGTGTGTGAATTACATCTCCATAATTATTGTTGCAAAAACACCATGATTGATGACCCCATCCTTCTTAAAGTATTCTGGCTTCCGGAATACCATGCTCACTTCTCTACTCCTCAGATTCTATATCATCTCCCAGGATGCTAGGCTGAGGTACCCAATCTCATCCTTGTTCCTTTTCTCTTTTCATAACTAGCCTTGTCTCAAGGCATGAGCAAAATACACACTGAAGTCAGTTAGTAGCCTGAAACCTTTGGCTGAATAGGTGGTATTATAGAAGACCAGGGGAACTGACAGTGTGTGAATACCTTAGACAAGATGGAGCCTATACCATACTGTGCTCATAATGAAGAACAAAATTAACCCACAATCTCTTACTTGTAAAGATATGTAAAAATAAGCCCAGCACAGGGGCTCATTTGGCTGATTCTCCCCATTCAAGTGCTGAGATCCCATATGGGTAACAGTCTCAGATGCTCCACTGCCCATCCAGCTCCCTGTTTGTGGCCTGAGAAAGCAGCGGAGGATGGCTCAAACCCTTGGGACCCTGCACCCATGTAGGAGACTTGGGAGAGACTCCTGGCTTCTGGCTTTGGATGGGCTGAGCTCTGGCCTGTTGCAGCCACTTGTGGAGTGAACCAAAGGGTGAAAGATCTTTCCATGTCCTTCTCTTTGTGAATTAGCCTTTCCAATTAAAAAAAAAAAAGATACAAAGTAATGTGGAGCAAGTCTTAAGGCACTAAATTCAGCATAATAATACAATAACAGATCCATTATTTATTTGTAAGTTCTTGTGACTTGATTGAGTGGTGTACCTTGGTTATCCAGGAAGTTGACTCTAAGACCAGAGATCTGAGTGCAGCATTCTTATTTGGGGGAAGAAAGAATAACTATGCAGAAGGAAGATGAATTGAGATGCTTTGCTAAAGAACCTAGGCTGATTCTACAGCAAGCTGGGAGCAGATGTGGTACCTATGCTGGTTCAGTTGGAGATGAGAAGGGCAGGTGTTTTTAGCCCTGCATAGAGCACTCACAAAGCACTGCTCCTGCAGGAACTGGGACTGGGGCAGCAGGGTTGTTGGAAACCAGCTTTCATTGGTTAAGGACAACTCCGGGGGTATAGGAAAAGTGGGGGCACATTTCAACTAACACCACAGTCCTCTTAGGCAGGAAGCTAGAGAGGAGTAACAGACCCTTTTCCCTGGCCTTACCAGTGTTTTCATCCAGGACCCTCCTTAGAGCAGCCCACCCCCCCCCCCCCCCCAGTTTTGTAGTGTAGTTCAAGGTTAACATAACCGGATCAAAGGGGAACTCAGCCAAACCAGAAAAATCCAGTTTATGGCACATGAGTAATGAGACCTCTGCTTGACATTCAGGCCACCCTGCCTCGTTATGGGATCATTATAATATAATTAACGTGGGCTCGGAGTCATTCTGCTTTCCAAAATAACGGCCTTTGAAGGGCAAGAGAAAGGAGGAGGGGAGGGCTGTCCTCAGAAAGGGCTGTCCCTTCCCGGGGCATGTTCTGCCCCACAGGCCTCAGGATGACATGAACACAATGTCCCTCACACCGCAGAGCTGAAATTCACATCTGAGCAGAGCAGAAACAGTGTCTCCCTTTACATGGACCATGAATATATGGATTTTATACGCAGGTTCTTGTCTCCCACAGAAATAGATATGCTAAGCAGAGACCAGAGTCGTGTGCAAATAGGAACAAAATGTATGCAGCAATGAGAAAATAAATATACATTTGTGTGCAAATGTGGGCTGCTCCACAGTGAGACTCAACACGAGTGGACCAAACAGTTGCCCGTAAGCTAGAGAAAAAGAAAGACCACAAACAGTACCTTTAATGAAGAAGGTCCATCGAGCTCTGTTCAGAAGGGCGCACATTAGAGCAGCAGAAAGAGTAAAAGCAGCAGCAGCAACTCCAAGCACGCTCCATGATGGAAGCAGGGCTCTTGTCTGCTTGCACCTCTTTTTTTCTGTAAGGAAGGGGGTCCCACTCCAATTGTATATGCAAATACAGAAGAGTCTTAATGTGCACCCTGATCCAGATGCAACAGTCATATCCTGGAAAGCTGAGCATACCATATTTGGCAATAAAGAGACAGCATCCTTTTACAAATAGAGTCCCGGCTTACCTAAATTTTAACAAGTTAAATCATATGCTCTTGAATGGCCTGTCCCTCCCTTGGAACACACTTCGACAAACTTTGCTATGGCTACTTTCATTTGCTGATCTGTAATTCTTTATTGTGTCTGGCAGAGGTTCAAAGCCCAGGCTTGCTTCCACTGCTAATAAAACTGAGTTGGCTATAGCAGCCCTATTCTGCATACCGTGTCACGATAGATGCCATCAGTTGTCACCACAAAGTGAGTAATTCAGGCTTCGTGATTCCTTGATGCACAGCTTTCACTGACTGGACAGAAGAGAAAGAGGCCAAATTGACATCCTTTGGTTTGGAGCAACAATAGTATTGTTTGCATCCTCACCAGCTGGTTTTGGACAATTGTCTTCTTGTCATTGGGTCGTCATTGGCTATAAACAAACACCAAGGCAGTTGACTATCCTAGGCAGGGATGCTTGACCTGCAGGGGAGAGAACTGAATGTCCATATGCAGGGAATGCAACGCTCCACCCAGGGAGAGAAATGAGAGCAGATGGTGAGGTCAGTTTGTTAGTTCTATTTACCTAATTAAAGCCCTCACACATATTGTCAGGTAAAAATCATCTGTCAAAAAGTCCACCTGGTCATAATTGATCATCATTTGTAAGTCTGTTCTGGCTGCTGCTGCCAAAATTTTAGTTATGATCCCATGGTCTCAATTAATTAAGAACACAACTCCGATAACTGAGTGTGGCATTCATTTCCCAAACTGGGATGCATGGTGACTGACAGCAAAGAGGGGGGCAGAACATGTTTATTATGTGACTACATCTTGATGCACGCACTGGGGGACCTATTGTCAGGCTCCTGTGCTCAGGCTCAATTTGATTACAGTGTGTGTTGTGAGTGCAGCAAAATATTGATGAAAACGAATGAGTCTGGTGTTCCTGTTTGCCCTTTGAAGCCAAATGCAGTTTGGGGCATTCTCTTGACCTTTACTCGAGACCTCTTCATCTGAACTATCAATTTGCATAAATCTGTTGTGTGAAATTGGCCTTGCCTTGCGAAGACAGAAAACCTCAATCCTGCTCACTCTTCAGAAAGGTAAGAAACACTGATTATACAATTTTATTGGAACAGAAAGTGCTAATAGGTTGCATCTCATCCATTTTAAAAAATATCAAAGAATTACTAAAGTACCTTGGTATAACTTTCCTACGAGCTCATATTTAAAAGGCACATTAACAAGTGTTAATAAAGCAAACCCAGAATATTTGGATACGTATCTGTTATCATGCCAATGCCATGGACTATGAACTTGTCTTAATACAGTGTGGTATAATAACAGCCCCTGGTAAGTTAAGTGCATACTGATTATTTCAACATATTTATTAGGGGTCAGTGCTGTGGTGTGGTACATGAAGCCAGTGCTTGCAACACCAGCATCCCATCTCAGGGCAATGGTTTGAGATCCTCCTTCAATCCAGTTTCCAGCTAACGTGCCTGAAAAAGCAGCAAAAGATGGCCCAAGTTACTCGAGTCCCTTTTCTGCCCAAGAGAATTTCTGGCTCCTTACTTCGGCTTGGCCCAGCCCCAGATATTGCTGCCATTTGGGGAGTGTACCACCGGGAGAAGATCTTTCTGTCTCCTCCAACCTCGCCCTTACTTTGCACTATTCTGCTTTTCAAAGAAATAAATAAGTAAGTCTTCTAAAAATGATTATTCCATCTATTACAACATACAATTTTTCAAAAGCATGCCTAACAAAACTTTTCTTAAAAGCTGCTCTGGCAGTTGAAGCTAAGGGGAGAGACATGAACACAAACTATCATGGAAACTGGATCTCTCCATTAGCAGATATCCATCAGAATTTTCAGACATCAAGGAACTTGAAAAAAAAAGTGCAGAGAAGAAGGGAGATCATATAAAGGTAATAAGCTTAGAGACATGATCTGGTTTCTAAGGTAGGCAAAATTCCCTTTGAAGTCAAAAAAAAAAAGAGTTTTAGTTAGCTAAGAAGCAAAGGATTTAGTTCCCAAGAAATATTATCTGAAATGGTGTTGGTTTAAATGAGCTTTCAGTAAGTAGAAGGCAGGTATGCCTATAATTGGCTTTGTCATATAAAATCAGACCTTAGAGCTCCAGAGATTATATTTTCTTGTAAAGCATATTTCTCTGCCTCTGGGCCTGTTTTAACCCCATCGAAGCTTCATGGAGAAGTGATGGATAACTTTAGGTCAGATATCAAAGTTTGCCTAACACTTTCCAGAAAGGATTTCAGAGATGCAGCATATTAAACAACTCTTTCTTTTGCTTTGAAGATTTGTTTGTGGTCACTACTTGGGAACACATTTGAAAGGTTCAAGGAAGCAGTTTAGTATAATATTATTTAATCTCAAGTTAGCATTGTGTTTTAGGAAATAGGTATTGCTCCTCGTTTGTTTAACTTTTATTTTTACAAGTAGGATGTTCAGGAGAGAAGTGTCATGATTGTAATTGATGTCTAGCATTACTAGAGGTTTTTTCATCTCAGTTTTGACTCATGAGTAGTACTGATCTCAGTACTTGGTGATATAAGTTGGAACGTTACTAAGCCACACATTTGAGTTCAGTGAATTTCAAATCATGTGGCTAGTTTAGGAGCTTACTATGTGGAATCAATAATTCAAGTGAATGTTTTTGTTTTCTATAATTTTAATTAAAATCTGGTACTTATTTGGCAATTTCTCTGCCAAGTATGGTAACAAAGGTTTCCATCCCCCAGTCCTCTTTAATCATGCCTACAGACAAGTTCTGTCATTGTCCCTACTTCCCAACTGAGGAAAGTAGGTCATGGGAGAGTCACATCGCCAGTCCAAGGTCGCTCACTATTGGAAAGTTAGTATTTCATCCCAGCACGCTGGACCCCGGGACCTGCTTTCTGCACTCAGGATCATTAAAACATGGCTTGGTGCTACGAGGAATAGTTCAATGGTAACCACGACCTTTTAATGAAGACAAAATTTTAGTGAAAGCTAAAATCTTTGCTAAATGAGACCCATGAAGAAGTCAGGCATTGATACCAACATTCCTCTGGTTTCAATCATGTAAAACTTCTCAGAAAGTCTTTACAGATGCTCTATTGAGTCAGAGCTGTGTATTTTTGTTTGTTTGTTTGCTGCTTTGTATTCATGTGATATCTTTTAGAGAGACTACCATTCGAAAATTATTAATATTTTTTGTAGCAGTGAAAGAAGTCAAAATTACTGGGGAGATTTGTTTATGTACATTACCTCATATCCAATAATGTCAAAATAATATATTACTAAATCTTGTGCTTTATTGATGATGAATGGCAAAAATTACAAATCTGCTATAGGTGTCACTGTGCTTCTTGATTTTTAATTTGTCTGGTGTTTTTATTAGGCTGAGGTGCTAGTAACCAACATTTGACCTCCATCTTTTAAAATTAATATTTATTAAACTAGCTAAGCATTGCCACTGTGCCTAAGAAACTGAACAGGAGCTATGCCTAACACACACCTGAGTGAACAGTTGCTAGCCTTATCACTGCGTATCCATAGAATGACAACTAAATAAGAGGTGACTTGTAAGCATATAGTTGGTGCCAGTTTAGTCATTAAGGTGACTAAAACAGCAAAGCAAGTGTGTGGTTGTAGTCAATTGTCTTGACAGTTGGTGGTTGCTGTGAATTGCCAAATTGCCACCATAGCCCTGCTTAGCTGTGTTTATTGGCATAGCTGAACCTTCATTTTGTCCTTTGATTTTTCCTTCCAAGTAAAGGAAATTTGGTGGTGGTTGGGGGGAGGGTGGAGGTCTAATTTTAGAATTCCAGCTAATTCAAGACTTAAGTTAGTCATTTGCTCTTGTTAGTAACCAAGCAGACAGTGAATCTCCATTACACAGAGACTGGACGAACCCACAAATATAAGGCATGTGATGAAAGTGGACCAAGCAGTATTACTGGGTGACTTAAATCAACTCCCCTGGGGAACTCAGGTTGCAGGTGCCTGGAGTTACTAGGATCGCACGCAGCAGTCATCATGGTTCATCTTCTGCTTAGACGTTTACTGATTATTTCCATATGTATTAATGATCCTTGCAAAAACATCAAAAGAATTACGACGGTGCTTTTTATTTTACATGAAAAGGAACAGAAGTTCCAAAATGAAGAGAGAGTAGCAAGAGAAAACCAGTGTATCAACTGCCTGCCTGGGGACACTGTACTCTCTGTCCTTGCAATATTTAATTCTTCTAAAACCCTGTGAGTTAAAAGTTATCTGAAAGCATATGAGTTGTCTGTTCAGATCACTTGTTATTCTAATTCTGAGATTTTCTCTTTCCATTTGATTCTCTGAGGTTTGCCTCAACTGGTAGAGACAAACCCTGAGACCACGTAGCTATCACCTGCCACTGATCACTGTTGATGTGGAGCTGGTGTGAGCAGTTCATCCGCGCTCAGCCAATCAAGACAGTCTTCCAGGTATTTAGATCTTCTCTCTACACCTGTGAGGACCCGCTGCTTATGGCAAGGCTAAGAGAGTTGATCTGAAGAGAGAATGAAGTTGTTGGACTAATTAAAGAGAATGTAAAGACGATGTGGCTACAGACATGAGAGATGTGGAAAATAAATCTCGGAGCCATTCAGAGATTGCTCTCCCAGTCCAGGTACTGTCAGGCCTGGTTCTGTTTCTTGCCTCTCAGTTAACAGATGAATGCTACATTTTGTTTCCACTTGTGAAGGGGATTGGTCTTATTCTCAGACCAAGAGCCTGGAGGTTGTGTGGCATCTGCAGGAGTGGTCAGAGGGTAAGAACTCCATGGTGACTCGCCAGACATCATGAAAGAAGGTTCAGATATCGTCCTCGTGTCCTGAGTTAACGAGGCAGGTTGAAACTTCGAGGCTTCATGTAGGATAATTTGTGAATTTTAATTGATGTTGTCACTGGGCAGTGAGTTTCAGAACCGGAAGGAGATTTGCTATGACATCCCTGGCAGGTGGTTGCCCAGTGCTGCGGGGTGCCTGACTCACTACTTGAGCAGACACATCTTCTCTTGCTGAGATGCTCTGTAGCTCTGTGATGGACCCCCAGAGCATGTGACGGATTCTTACAGCACCGTGATGGAATCCCTGGAGCACTGGGATGCATCCCTGGAGCACTGGGATGCAACCACTAGAGCTTTGTGACGGAGCTCAGGCACACTGCGATGAACCACTGGCTTTCATGATACACCATTTGCCCCCTGGGCCTAGATTTTTGCAGCACTAGTCTGTCACTGCCTGAGAACAACTGAGATATCTGTAGACAGCTTAGACTGCTCTAGGGCAGAATGAACGTTTCTTGAACATTTTATACGTCAGAGAATCAGGACCTCTTAGTTTCCTGACACATAAACAAAATCAGTTTGGAAGTGCATTTTGTACACAACAATGTTTTTATTTATTTTTCCAGGTTCTGAAATATATTTACCAAAGAGTCTATGTCATAGACTTGTGAGTTTAAAAAATAAATAAAAAATAAATGCATGCTAGGGTCCGCTCTAACTAACTTGAGAAAGAGAACATTTCTTATACCTTGGAAATCAAGGGTAACAGGTTTACTGACTGCACTTTCTTCCCTTACCCCCAAGGAAGCCACTACTCACAAATCTATTTATTATGGCCTCGTCACATATCCTTAAATCATTTACAGTGTGTATTATGTACTTTGTAATATCTTATTAACAGATCCATGGTGTTCGCTGCTCTTTTTTTTCCTCGTTTGTGTTGTCTTTAAGATTCATCCGCATTCATTTTCACTGCTTTATTTTCCATCCCCCTGATACTGGGTATTTTGAAGCACTTTGATTTTTATGCATTTAAAAAGTTTTTTGAGAATTCTTGTATGTGTCTTTAAATATGTGCTCAAGACTCTCCCTAAGGCACATGTATAAACAACATGTATAGACATGTATGAGCATGTTCCTCTTTACTGAGAAATGCTTATTTGTTTTCCAGTGTCATTTTGTCAATATTCAAGCAATGGTACAGGGGCTGGTGGTTTCACATACTCACTATACTTCATATTGTAAGACTGGACTAATTAGTTTTTCTATAGTAATGGGGTATAAAATGGTACCTCACTGTGATATTAATTTGTTTTTCCTTGATTGCTAATGAGGTTGAACATCATTTTATTTGTTTATTGGCTGTTCTTGTGTCTTCCCTGTGAAACTGCCTCCTTCTGCTTTTTTCTGTTGAGTTGAAATGTTCTTTTTAAAATTATCAGATTCATTTACATATCATATATTATATTATAATGTATTACATATAGCTTTTTCTAGTTTGTAACATATTTTTCATATTATTAGGATGTTTTTGATAGTCATTTAAATTCAATGTACTCAAAATTATCGGTCTTTTTTTTTAAGACTTTTGTGGTTATTTTATTTAAGGAAACTTTCCATATCTTAGGTATAAGGTTATTCTTGTATAGTGTTCAAAAACTTCAGTGGCCTTTCACTGAAATGTTTGATACATTTAGAAATGATTTTTATATCTTCTAGAAGGTCAAGTTCTCTTTTTTAACCTATACAACCAATTATACCATTTACTCAATATTCATGTTTTACTTGTTGATTTAAGTGCCAATTTAATCACACATCACAGTCCCACGTGTTGACTGGTTTGTTTTTTGGACTCTTTTCATTAGATTGTTTATCCTTGCTTCTACCAATATCTTACTAGTTTGCTTAATAGAATATTATAATAGATATCCATATACAACAAGTAACCCCTTCCTGGTCTTCTTTGTAAATATATTTGGAAGGCAGAGGGGCAGAAACAGACAGTCTTCCATCTTCAACAACAGGGGCTAGGCCAGGCCAAAGCCCCAGGAGTGGCCGGAACCTGACTACTTGAGGTATAACTTATTGCCCCTCAGGTGCACATGAACAAGAAGCTAGATAGACTATGGAGCTGAGTCACGACTCAGGCACAGGCCCTCCGATGTGGGCTGTGAGTGCTCCAGTAACACCTTAAATCCTGCACTGGTCTCCAGGGCTGTGCTTTAAGCCTGTTGGGCACATTCTCTTCTGGCAGTTGACTCTTTAAAAAATGAAATGCAGAACTGTATACTTATGTCCTTCAAAATTACTGTTGTCTATTCAGACTATCATTTTAGCATTGGGGAACATTTTAAATCATAATTTTGTCATCTTTCATGTTATCTTACCTTCTCAATGTTTATCATTTTTACTCCATTTGTTGAAAAAGTTTTGAATCAAGCAGAGCTCATTTTTCTAAGAGTCTCTGGTGGAAAATCTCATTAAGTCATTTAATGGGAAGTTAAACCACCACTTGTGAGAGAAAGCAATCAAATAAAAAGATATCCAGCTGGCATCCAGTCCTCCCAGGATGAGCCCAGCTAGCCGAACCTCCCTCAGCCTCATCTGAGCACGAACGCAACGTAGTCATCCAAACAAACAAAAAAGAGCAGAAAACATGCTGGAGATGAAGTTCAGGATCAAGACTCAGGTTGTCGAGGTGAGACAGAGATAATTTGGATGTATAAGAATAAGATGTTGGAAGAATCCATCGCTGATGGAAAGAGGACAGCTGCTTCTTGGGACTCTTTAAGTTTGTTACTGTTATTCCTTGATGACTCTGCTTGTATTGGACAGGGATACTTGGTGGTGTCACGTAAGCATTTTAAATGTTTGCTCCACCCTCCTAAATTCAGCAGCTACTGCTCCTGGCTGGACTCCCCTCCCACCCCATGTAAGTGGACAACTTACTCTCTTTCTCTCAGCTCCTTTCCAGAGTCGTTCTGCATCATTAATTCCCCTTTGTTTCAAAATCACCCACGTTTCCCCTCTGTGGACTCCATTCTCTCACCACCTAAATAAACTGCAAAAGTCCCATCTGAAGTAAGCAATCCAAAACAAAACACGAATCGTCTTCACTCTTCACATCAACTTACAGCTGTTATTCATGCACTTTTCCTTTCTGCATAAGCTTATTTATGATTTCTATTTTGTTTAAAGGCTGCTCATTCACCCTCCAAATACTCACAGCAGCTGGGG